TATGACAGACAAAATGAGGAAAAAAAATCCAGAAAATCACATTGTAGGATTTTTAATGAATTTATTTGCAAATTATGGTGGAAAATAAGTATTTGGTCAATAACAAAAGTTTCTCAATACTTTGTTATATACCCTTTGTTGGCAATGACACAGGTCAAACGTTTTCTGTAAGTCTTCACAAGGTTTTCACACACTGTTGCTGGTATTTTGGCCCATTCCTCCATGCAGATCTCCTCTAGAGCAGTGATGTTTTGGGGCTGTCGCTGGGCAACACGGACTTTCAACTCCCTCCAAAGATTTTCTATGGGGTTGAGATCTGGAGACTCCAGGACCTTGAAATGCTTCTTACGAAGCCACTCCTTCGTTGCCCGGGCGGTGTGTTTGGGATCATTGTCATGCTGAAAGACCCAGCCACGTTTCATCTTCAATGCCCTTGCTGATGGAAGGAGGTTTTCACTCAAAATCTCACGATACATGGCCCCATTCATTCTTTCCTTTACACGGATCAGTCGTCCTGGTCCCTTTGCAGAAAAACAGCCCCAAAGTATGATGTTTTCACTCCCATGCTTCACAGTAGGTATGGTGTTCTTTGGATGAAACTCAGCATTCTTTGTCCTCCAAACACGACGAGTTGAGTTTTTACCAAAAAGTTATATTTTGGTTTCATCTGACCATATGACATTCTCCCAATCCTCTTCTGGATGCACTCTAGCAAACTTCAGACGGGCCTGGACATGTACTGGCTTAAGCAGGGGGACACGTCTAGCACTGCAGGATTTGAGTCCCTGGCGGCGTAGTGTGTTACTGATGGTAGGCTTTGTTACTTTGGTCCCAGCTCTCTGCAGGTCATTCACTAGGTCCCCCCGTGTGGTTCTGGGATTTTTGCTCACCGTTCTTGTGATCATTTTGACCCCACGGGGTGAGATCTTGCGTGGAGCCTCAGATCGAGGGAGATTATCAGTGGTCTTGTATGTCTTCCATTTCCTAATAATTGCTCCCACAGTTGATTTCTTCAAACCAAGCTGCTTACCTATTGCAGATTCAGTCATTCCAGCCTGGTGCAGGTCTACAATTTTGTTTATGGTGTCCTTTGACAGCTCTTTGGTCTTGGCCATAGTGGAGTTTGGAGTGTGACTGTTTGAGGTTGTGGACAGGTGTCTTTTATACTGATAACAAGTTCAAACAGGTGCCATTAATATAGGTAACGGGTGGAGGACAGAGGAGCCTCTTAAAGAAGAAGTTACAGGTCTGTGAGAGCCAGAAATCTTGCTTGTTTGTAGGTGACCAAATACTTATTTTCCACCATAATTTGCAAATAAATTCATTAAAAATCCTACAATGTGATTTTCTGGATTTTCTTTTCTCAATTTGTCTGTCATAGTTGACGTGTACCTATGATGAAAATTACAGGCCTCTCTCATCTTTTTAAGTGGGAGAACTTGCACAATTGGTGGCTGACTAAATACTTTTTTTCCCCACTGTATATATATATATATATATATATATATATAATATATAATATATAATTATTGTAAAATTAACTCTGTCCATAAGGTGTAGATAGTAAGTATAGACCGGAAGTAGAGGCCTGGGCATTGTTGTTCACTAATTTACTCCAAGTAGGGAAAGGATGGTGGGGTTGAAAAGTAATAAAGGGGAGTATATATATAAAAAAAAGAAGAAAAAAACAACAACAACAAACATGGGGGATTGGAAGTGATGCAGACAATTACATTGATAGAAGATACAATCTATCTGCAATATTAAGCTGATCCATCCCCCCCCCCCAAAAAAAAAAAAAATATGTAAATATGTAAACTTCTAACCCACTGGGAATGTGATGAAATAAATACAAGTTGAAATAAATAATTCTCTCTACTATTATTCTGACATTTCACATTTTTAAAATAAAGTGGTGATCCTAACTGACCTAAGACAGGGAATTTTTACTAGGTTAAATATCAGGAATTGTGAAAAACTGAGTTTAAATGTATTTGGCTAAGGTGTATGTAAACTTCCGACTTCAACTGTACATACACACACACACACTTTTACACTCATCATTTGCGGCTGCTACTCTGTTCTTTATTTTACTCTTATTATTATCTATCCTGATGCCTAGTCACTTTACCCTGCATTCGGAATGTATTCAGACCCCTTGACTTCTTCCACATTTTGTTACGTTACAGCCTTATTCTAAAATGGATTAAATAAAAATTGTCCTCATCAATCTATACACAATAACCCATAATGACAAAGCGAAAACAGGTTTTTAGAATTATATAATTTTTTTGTATAGAGCCTTCAGAAAGTATTCACACCCCTTGACCTTTTCCACATTTTGGATTTAATTGTCATTTTTTGTGAACGATCTACACAAAATACTCTGTAATGTCAAAGTGGAACAAAAATTATAACATTTGTAAAACATTCATGAAAAAGAAAAGAAATATATTCTGATTAGATACGTATTCAACCCCGAGTCAATACATGTTAGAATCACCTGTGCCAGCAATTACAACTGTGACTCTTTCTGGGTAAGTCTCTAAGAGCTTTCCACACCTGGATTGTGCAACATTTGCCCATTATTCCTTTCAAAATTTGTCAAACTCTGTCAAATTGGTTATTGATCATTGCTAGACAACCATTTTCAGGTCTTGCCGTAGATTTTCAAGTAGATTTAAGTCAAAATTCTAACTCGGCCACTTGGTAAGAAACTCCAGTGTAAATTTGGCCTTGTGTTATAGGTTATTGTCCTGTTAAAAGGTGAATTCATCTCCCAGGGTCTGGTGGAAAGCAGTCTGAACCAGGTATCCTCTAGAATTTCCCCCAAACATAACACTTTGTATCCAAGACAAAAACTTAATTGCTTTGCCACATTTTTTGCAGTATGACTTTAGTGTCTTATTCCAAACAGGATGCATGTTTGGAATATTTGTATTCTTTACAGGTTTCCTTCTTTTCACTCTGTCAGTATTGTGGAGTAACTACAATGTTGTTGATCCATCCTAAGTTTTATCCTATCACAGCCATTAAACTCTGTAACTGTTTTAAAGTCACCATTGGCCTCATAGTGAAATCCCTGAGTGGCTTCCTTCCTCTGTGGCAACTGAGTTAGGAAGGACGCCTGTATTTTTGTAGTGACTGGGTGTATTAATACACCATTCAAAGTGTAATTAATAACTTCACCATGCTCAAAGGGATATGCTTTTTTTTTTTTTTTTTACCATCTACCAATAGGTTCCTTCTGTGCAAGGCTTTGGAAAACCTCCCTGGATTTGTGGTTGAAACTGTGTTTGAAATTCACTAGTTTACAGATATTGTATGGGTGGGGTACAGAAATGAGGTAGTCATTCAAAAATCATATTAAACAGTATTATTCCATACAGTGAGTCCATGCAACTTATTATGTAACTAATTAAGCATATTTTTACTCCTGAACTTATTTAGGCTTGCCATAACAAAGGGGTTGAATACTTATTGATTAAAAACATTTAAAATGTTCATTGTTTATTAATTTGTTTAATAATGTATGAACAACTGAATTCCACTTTGACATTATAACGTATTGTGTGACAAATAAATAAAAACTTAATTTAATCAATTTTAAATTCAGGCTGTAACACAACAAAATGTGACAAATAAAATGTATTTTCATAAAAATATGACATGTAAATATAGCTAGCTATGTATATACTTTGAGATATGGGCATGGACCCCCTGCACTGCAGTACCTCCACAGACCTCACTTTGAGAACTCCTGTTGTAGAGAACCCAATCATGAGCTTTGGAAGCCTTTCGCCATCATTGGCCTGGAGTTGAACAATATAGCTAGGTATCCCAACAATAATAACTCACCTGCAGAACAGTTGTGTCACAGATACTGGGTGGAACTGGATTCTGTACCTAGCTAGCTAACGTTAGCTAGCCACCTTTAGCTACCTTGTCCTCTTCTTTGGCTGGCTAGCTAACCTTGTCCTCTTCTTTGACTAGCTAGCTAAATAACTGACCTGGGTAGGCTACACAGGTCTATAAGCAATAACACCATCTGGCTTGACTGGCTAACAATATTTTAATTGAGACAACATGTTGATTTTGTGACTGCTAACTAGCTACCAACGAAAATATCAGAAAACATCATAAATTCGACCTAGCTAGCTCTTCGGGGCACATTCCTGTTGCTCACTCTGGCGGGAAAACCATCGCGTGCATCCCAAGCCATATACTGCCTGCATTATGTTATCATAAGGCATCACAAAATGGTTAACAGTGTTTCTGCTCTGGTGCACAACATTTTCTCCTCAAGTGTGTGGTTACAATGTTTCAAGTCAACATTTTTATCAGTGCATAGTTCCTCACATAATTAACAAGGTTATCTAGCCTATGTATAATTAATAGCATTCACTGTAGCCCATACATAACCTACACTCACTAGCCTATACGTTTTTTATTGTTGTTGATATATTTATTGATTTACATTAGACTAAGCTAAAGAGTCGCCCAAACAACATTTAGTTAGGCTTGCACACAGCAGGAAAGGACAACGCCTAGCTTGCACTTTGTTATTTTGTTGCATATTTTTTTGCAACATTCCTGGTTTAAAGCAATTGGCCTATACAATGCACAGGTATAAATGCATGCCCATCTTATTGCGTGAGAAATAGGTCCTCAGGATTAAGTTTTGTGAACTTTAGTCTAGTCATCATCCTGAACGCTATTTTGAAATGGACAGACTGACATGGAGTACACCAATAAGAGAGCCTCAGAATGAAAATGATTTTTAAAAATAACCAATCACCGCAGTCATAGGCAAGTCTGGGGGAGGTTCCTGGTGCGTGCCAGGAACTACAATATAAATCTTTGAACTCACTTTGAAAACTAGGCTAAATGTCGCTACGTGTGTGCTTGTGCATAGTTACTGCATCGAATTATTTGTAAGATTGGAACATCATTGTTTCCTGGATTCACATTCATATCAGGTATATTTATTTAAAAGATAAATGGAGGATAAAGGGGAGAACGGGCAAGCTGTAAAATACTACCGACTGTCAGAAATCGAGGAACAGAATACGTTCAAGAGTACATGGATTATAATCAACCATAACGTGTACGATGTCACCACATTTCTGGAAGAGGTGAGAAAATTAGGTTACACGAATGGTTAATATTATAGCCCATCAAATGTTACTTGATTTAGGCTAATGTCCATAATATATCAATGGCAACAGTCAACTAAACCAGTGTTTCTCAAGCCTAGGACCAGAATTGAGAAACACTGAACTAAACCCCATGGTCAGTTTTTCTCAGCAATCATCCAAGGCTTCATTTCAATAAGGCCTACCATTGTGTGAACATTCCATAAATCAGAGGGTTTGTAGCCTTTTGGTTGCCGGTAGCCAGCAGATTAAGACCCTACTATTACGCTTGTTTACACTGAGCTGCACTGGGATCAGAACGCAATCATGGTTACATTAAGACACTGTGGAGCCAGCGTGAGATATTGGTCGGAAAACGTACCTCAATGCAGGGATGGGATATGCCACTGTACTCCAAATTGTACCTTTATCCACACTGATACATTGAGAATATTTAAATGCTGCTAGTTCTCCAAGAAAACTGCCCTTTTTGTCTTTATGCTAACTAGCAGTAGCCACATTAAATGGCACTTGTGTTGAACAACAAAGGAGCTGATTGGCTGACACTGCCATTCCTAAATGGCTACTTCTAGCTAGCATGAGGACGAAAAGGGCAGTTTTCCAGGAAAACTAGCAGTATCTCAATCTTTTGCAGCCCTCTAACCAATTGTACTATTATGTGTGTTTTTCCGCATTATTTGTAATTTATTCTGTACATAATGTTTCTGCCATTGTCTCTTATAACCAAAAAGAGCTTCTGGATATCAGGACAGCGATTACTCACCTCGTATTGGATGAAGATTTTTTCTTCAACAAGTCGGACGCGAAGGATATCCTACAGACACCCGACAAGGCCCAAATCCCCGTCATTCGCATGAGAAGGAGACAGAGATATCGTGGACGTAGGTCGGGGTGCCTTGTAAGGATTCGACGGCGAGCGAGTAAACTGCCTCCTCCATCAATCCTATTAGCCAATGTTCAATCATTTGAGAATAAATTAGATGACCTAAGATTATGGTTATCCTACCAACGGGACATTTAAAAACTGTAATATAATATGTTTCACCGAGTCGTGGCTGAACGATGACATGGACAACATACAGCTAGCGGGCTATACGCTACATCGGCAGGATAGAACGGCTGACTCCGGTAAGACAAGGGGTGGCGGTCTGTATATATTTGTAAACAACAGCTGGTGCACAAAATCAAATACTAAGGAAGTCTCGAGGTTTTGCTCGCCTGAGGTAGAGTATCTTATGATAAGCTGTAGACCACACTATTTACCAAGAGAGTTTTCGTCTATATTTTTCATAGCTGTCTATTTACCACCACAAACCAATGCTGGCATTAAGATTGCACTGAATGAGCTGTATAAGGCCATAAGTGAACAGGAAAATGCTCATCCAGAGGCAGCGCTCCTAGTGGCCGGTGACTTTAATGCAGGGAAACTTAAATCAGTTCTACCTAATTTCTACCAGCATGTTAAATGTGCAACCAGAGGAAAATAAACTCTAGACCACCTTTACTCCACATACAGAGACGCATACAAAGCTCTCCCTCGCCCTCCATTTGGCAAATCTGACCATAACTCTATCCTCCTGATTCCTGCTTATAAGCAAAAACTAAAGCAGGAAGCACCAGTGACTCGGTTAATAAAAAAAGTGGTCAGATGACGCAGATTCTAAGCTACAGGACTGTTTTGCTAGCACAGACTGGAACATGTTCTGGGATTCTTCAGATAGCATTGAGGAGTACACCACATCAGTCACTGGCTTCATCAATAAGTGCATCGATGACGTCGTCCCCACAGTGACCGTACGTACATACCCCAACCAGAAGCCATGGATTACAGGCAACATCCGCACTGAACTAAAGGGTAGAGCTGCCGCTTTCAAGGAGCGTGACTCTAACCCGGACGCTTATAATAAATCCCGCTATGCCCTCCGACGAACCATCAAACAAGCAAATAGTCAGTACAGGATAAGATTGAATCGTACTACACCGGCTCTGATGCTCGTCGGATGTGGCAGGGCTTGAAAACTATTACAGACTACAAGAGGGGGGGGGAGGGGGGGGTGCTCTGTCCCCTCCTGTTGGCCAGGCCAGGCACGACTCCAACACCATCATTAAGTTTGCCGACGACACAACAGTGGTAGGCCTGATCACTGACAACGATGAGACAGCCTATAGGGAGGAGGTCAGAGACCTGGCCGTGTGGTGCCAGGATAACAACCTCTCCCTCAACGTGACCAAGACAAAGGAGATGATTGTGGACTACAGGAAAAAAAAGAGCACTGAGCACGCCCCTATTCTCATCGACGGGGCTGTAGTGGAACAGGTTGAGAGCTTCAAGTTCCTTGGTGTCCACATCACCAACAAACTATCATGGTCCAAACACACCAAGACAGTCATGAAGAGGGCACAACAAAGCCTATTCCCCCTCAGGAGACTGAAAAGATTTGGCATGGGTCCTCAGATCCTCAAAAAATTATACAGCTGCACCATCGAGAGCACCCTGACTGGTTGCATCACCGCCTGGTATGGCAACTGCTCGGCCTCCGACCGCAAGGCACTACAGAGGGTAGTGCGTACGGCCCAGTACATCACTGGGGCCAAGCTTTCTGCCATCCAGGACCTGTATACCAGGCAGTGTCAGAAGAAGGCCCTCAAAAGTGTCAAAGACTCCAGCCACCCTAGTCATAGACTGTTCTCTCTGCTTCCCCACGGCAAGCGGTACTGGAGTGCCAAGTCTAGGTCCAAAAGACTTCTCAACAGCTTCTACCCCCAAGCCATAAGACTCCTGAACAGCTAATCATGGCTACCCGGACTATTTGCATGGCCCCCCCACCCACCCCCACCCCATCTTTTTACGCTGCTGCTATTGTGTTAATTATTTATGCATAGTCACTTTAACTCTACCCACATGTACATATTACCTCAACTACCTCAACTAGCCAGTGCCCCCGCACATTGACTCTGCACCGGTACCCCCCTGTATATACAGCCTCCCTACTGTTATTTTATTTTACTTCTGCTCTTTTTTTCTCAATACTTTTTTGTTGTTGTTTTATTTTACTTTTTTATTAAAAAATGAATGCATTGTTGGTTAAGGGCTGTAAGTAAGCATTTCACTGTAATGTCTACACCTGTTGTATTCGGCGCTTGTGGCCAATAACATTTGATTTGATTTGATTCTCGGTGTATAAGTACAGTGGCATATCCCATCCCTGCATGGAGGTATGTTTTCCTACCCATATGTCACGCTGGCTCCAGTGTCTTAATGTAACGATGACTGCGTTCCAACCCCAGTGCAGCTCAGTGTAAATAAGCATAATGGTAGGGTCAGAATCTGCTGGCTAGGTTCCAGGGAGCTAAGTGGTTGGGGTCAAATTCACAGATGAAATGTCTAGGATTATAGTTTCCAAATTGACTGTTCTAAATTGGTTCATAGCCTACACATAGCCCTAATGAACTAAATTTACACAAATATGATTGGTCTCAGTCAGCTCATGTCTCAACCTGGATTTGTTACCCAAACTATTAAGTGTTCATAACCATCATCTTCAGTGGGGAAAAAAAGTATTTAGTCAGCCACCAATTGTGCAAGTTCTCCCACCTAAAAAGATGAGAGAGGCCTGTAATTTTCATCATAGGTACACGTCAACTATGACAGACAAAATGAGAAAAAAAAATCCAGATAATCACATTGTAGGATTTTTAATGAATTTATTTGCAAATTATGGTGGAAAATAAGTATTTGGTCAATAACAAAAGTTTCTCAATACTTTGTTATATACCCTTTGTTGGCAATGACACAGGTCAAACGTTTTCTGTAAGTCTTCACAAGGTTTTCACACACTGTTGCTGGTATTTTGGCCCATTCCTCCATGCAGATCTCCTCTAGAGCAGTGATGTTTTGGGGCTGTCGCTGGGCAACACAGACTTTCAACTCCCTCCAAAGATTTTCTATGGGGTTGAGATCTGGAGACTGGCTAGGCCACTCCAGGACCTTGAAATGCTTCTTAAGAAGCCACTCCTTTGTTGCCGGGGCGGTGTGTTTGGGATCATTGTCATGCTGAAAGACCCAGCCACGTTTCATCTTCAATGCCCTTGCTGATGGAAGGAGGTTTTCACTCAAAATCTCACGATACATGGCCCCATTCATTATTTCCATTACACGGATCAGTCGTCCTGGTCCCTTTGTAGAAAAACAGCCCCAAAGCATGATGTTTCCACCCCCATGCTTCACAGTAGGTATGGTGTTCTTTGGATGCAACTCAGCATTCTTTGTCCTCCAAACACGACGAGTTGAGTTTTTACCAAAAAGTTATATTTTGGTTTCATCTGACCATATGACATTCTCCCAATCCTCTTCTGTATCATCCAAATGCACTCTAGCAAACTTCAGACGGGCCTGGACATGTACTGGCTTAAGCAGGGGGACACGTCTCGCACTGCAGGATTTGAGTCCCTGGCGGCCACTACCACGGCGCTTGAAACGCCAAGGTAGTGGGTTCGATCCCCGGGACCACCCATACACAAAAATGTATGCACGCATGACTGTAAGTCGCTTTGGATAAAAGCGTCTGCTAAATGGCATATTATTATTATTATTATTATTATTATTACTGATGGTAGGCTTTGTTACTTTGGTCCCAGCTCTCTGCAGGTCATTCACTAGGTCCCCCTGTGTGGTTCTGGGATTTTTGCTCACCGTTCTTGTGATCATTTTGACCCCACGGGGTGAGATCTTGCGTGGAGCCCCAGATCGAGGGAGATTATCAGTGGTCTTGTATGTCTTCCATTTCCTAATAATTGCTCCCACAGTTGATTTCTTCAAACCAAGCTGCTTACCTATTGCAGATTCAGTCTTCCCAGCCTGGTGCAGGTCTACAATTTTGTTTCTGGTGTCCTTTGACAGCTCTTTGGTCTTGGCCATAGTGGAGTTTGGAGTGTGACTGTTTGAGGTTGTGGACAGGTGTCTTTTATACTGATAACAAGTTCAAACAGGTGCCATTAATACAGGTAACGAGTTGAGGACAGAGGAGCCTCTTAAAGAAGAAGTTACAGGTCTGTGAGAGCCAGAAATCTTGCTTGTTTGTAGGTGACCAAATACTTATTTTCCACCATAATTTGCAAATAAATTCATAAAAAATCCTACAATGTGATTTTCTGGATTTTTTTTTCTCAATTTGTCTGTCATAGTTGACGTGTACCTATGATGAAAATTACAGGCCTCTCTCATCTTTTTAAGTGGGAGAACTTGCACAATTGGTGGCTGACTAAATACTTTTTTTCCCCACTGTAATTTTCTCTCTTGGGTTTCTTTGCACTTTTCATAGGCCTAGTCTATATTACAATGTAGCTTAATGACAAAATGAAATATTGCCAGATAAAATAGTCTCAAAATTAGACGAGTTAAGGCGAGGCCAGACTGGCCCATTGATTTGATCCATATCTGTGATTTCCAATGCTTTCTCAATGGGAGTCGTGCATTGATGGTCAACGAAGATGTGTCCATATCCATCCCTGAGCAAGACCCTTAAAGCTGCAATATATAACTTTTTGGGTGACCTCACCAAATTCACATAGAAATGTGAGTTATAGATCTCTCATTCTCATTGAAAGCAAGTCTAAGAAGCAGTAGATCTGTTCTACAGTATGTGTGCTATCTCTAGGCTTCCCGTTCTTAAGTTGTTTATGCATCTTTTACTTCTGGTTTTGTACACCAGCTTCAAACAGCTGAAAATACAATATGTTTGATTATTGAAAATATATTTCACAGAGGTTTAGATGGTACAATGATTCTCACGTAAACTGAAGTTAGGCGAACTATTCAAATTTTAGCAACCAGGAAATGGCAGAGTGATTTCTGCATATTGCACCTTTTAACCTTTAACTTCTCCAGGGGAGTTGCACTGTGGTAGACCATTTGTTCTCCCAAAAAATATGTTCTCACTCTGTGTGTTTATGTGGTGTCTAGGTGGTTGGGCTTAGGGGCAAAAGACAATTTCCCTTCGCAAGATAGACAATAAAGTACTATTCTATAAAGTTATATTCTACTCTGCACAGTTGTTCATTTGTTCAGTCAGGTTTCACGAAGCTACCTTAGACACAGTGTATAGTGTAATTTGGGGATTCCTTATTTAGGCCAATAACACGCAGTCAATAGGTCAAGCATGACAAATCTTACTGTTCCATTGGGTTCACCCATGATGAAATATTTGAACCTGTTGTACAGTCTCCAAATGTAGGTGTGTGTTCTAGACTTTTTATGTTTCTGTTATATTATGCAAAAAATACTATGTTACATTATTGCTTCTGGTCCTCTCCTTTCCCAATTGTCCATTTTAGCTACAGTTTAACATTAGCTTGGTTGAGAATAAAACAGTGGTAATGGACACTTGTTAGTATGCGCTCAATAAGCCTAAATTGCTTGAAAAAAACTACTCTGACATGTACAGTATATTACAGCACCCAGGCGGAGAGGAGGTCTTGAGGGAACAGGCTGGTGGCGATGCCACGGAGAGCTTTGAAGACGTCGGACACTCATCAGATGCCAGGGAGATGGCTGCCAACATGGTCATTGGAGAACTGCATCCAGTAAGCACTCTTCATGTTTCAAACCAGCGTTTTAAAAGCTTTACGTAACTTTTGTCTCTGGCAATCAGAAACTAAGCTTCCTTTCTGTATCTGTAACAATGGCAATGCTGGGAGCCTCTGCCTGTAAGTTATTGCAGTATCCCAAAACCCCATAATATGGTGTTATTTGGTCATGGGGAAGAGAGGTATGTTTAGGGTACTACAGGGTAAATGCTCTAATTTGACATTACTACAGTATACTAACAACCTGTATACAAAACTCTTTGTAGCACCTGCGCTACTGGTTCCTTGTAGCACTTTCGGTACTGGTTGCACTATTATTCAACTGGTAGTGTTTGTCTTAATGAATTCCAAAAGTAATTCATAGGTTGTTATTGTTTCCAAGTAAGGACCCGTCATCTTCTTTACCATAAAATTAAGTTGTATAGGTTTCAGAGTTAGCAGGCAAATTCTACTCTCTTTTGAGGCATGAGACTGGATTGTTAGAATACGGATAAAAACAAAACACCCAGACAAACGTTAAGTTGCTGTCTGAGAGTCCCTTCTTGCACAACTCCTGTGACCTATTGAGTGGGAGGAGCTGCTCAAGACAAGTCTGGCACTGTGAGTGGAGTATAGTGGCTGAACACAATATGGTATTGTGGTTGTGTTGTCCGACCTGTTGTGTTCATTGAATGTAAGCATACTGACATTGGCTACCCTTCCATTCTCTTTTTGTCATCTTGATTGAATGCATATGACCATGATGTTGTGTAGGACGTTTCAGTGGTCCCATAGTCCTGCTATGGCAATGATATGGAAGAGACCTCTTAATTTTCATTGGATATATTTGTTGAATAATTAATCATTCTGGTTTCAGTTGGCTGATGTGAAACTTAATAGCTCTACATTTTGTCTGTTTTGGTAAACTGCTTTGCTGCAGAGTATAGAAATAATTTAGTTCTCAGCCTTCCTCCACATCCAGTGTAATCTAATGTTTTTTATGCCTACCAACTCATAGCATAATAAACAACCTCTCTCTCTCTTTCTCTCTCTCTCCCTCCCATTCTCTTCCTTCCTCTCTCTTGTGCAGGATGATCGGCCAAAGATGGCCAAACCTTCAGTAAGTAAAACAACTATCTAAAATGTGAAAAGTTACGCTACTCATATATCAGCACACATAGTAAGGTGTAGCCATATGTTTTTGCTTCGATGATAATAAGTCACCAACATTTTGATGGCAAGCTGCCTTCATCAAGGTTTATTTTGAAAACTGTAGTTCACATGTATAATACATATAAAACAATAACATGAGTCATAAAGAAAGGCCTACTCAAAGATAGAGATATCCATGTAAAGATTTGTGGAGGCCTTACAGACTTTCCTTTTCTTACAGGAGTCACTTGCCACCACAATCGAGGAAACCTCAAGGTATGTAGGCACCCCTGATGCCATTTTCATATTCTTGGTTTGAAACAAAACTGATTTAAATCAGAATTTATTTTAGCAAGTTTGCATCTGCATGAGCTATGGATACTTCAGATGCTTGTTAATGTTTTTATGTATGTTTAAAATTCATTGGGATGATTTTTCAAATGCAGTTTAGTCCTGCAATCTGGCAGAACTATTGTTTGCTATTCTACGACATTAGTCATTTTTGTACCATTTCAGCTGTCCGTTTTACTGATGTACTGTATCAGAGCTCTTGTTGTTCCTCTCCCCTTAACAGTTGGTGGACAAACTGGTTGATCCCCGGTTTGGCTGCGGCAGTCATCACGGTTATGTACCACATGTACACATCCGTGGAGCAGTGACCGCGCCATCGGTCCGTCACCTTTGCCAATCAAATGTAAATCACAATCCCTGAGAAACCACTGCTACTTTTTGGGATTTTCACAGCTCATATGCAGTACTGCAGTATCCATGTTTAATTTCATGTTTTTCATCCAATCACTCGGCATCATGTTAATGAAGGCATATACTTTTGTTGTTGTGTTAATCTTATTTTTCCTCTCCTGATTTACATATTGATATATAAATAAAATACTTATATTTACATATATTGAGATATTTTAGACAGATTAACATGAATGTATTGAGAATGTAAATGTTTTTATTATGTTATTGTAATATCTTAAGATTCACTATTACTCGAACATACTGTAACCCTGCAATTGAAACAGAAAATTACAGTTTAGCTTAAAAAAGCAGGCAATTACATCTTACCTGTGCATAACTAGACTGAATTTACTTTCATTTTGGAACAGAACTAATGACCCCACCATTCAAATCATAAAGGCTCAGGTTACATAATGTTTTGCATTAGCTGTGTCTTTTTTAAGCAATATGCATATAGCAAGAGACATGCTTTAAATTGCACAATGTATCTCAGTAGAGTACTGTGTACATAATATATGCTATAAAGAGTAAATTAGTTGATTTAACATCGATATGCAAAACTGTAAACCCAATTGTCCCATATTTCTGGTGCCATTAGTATCAACATTCCATAGACAGAGTAGACCAAAAGATGGCACTGTGCAGACTCATGCTTGGGGAGCCAAGAGGGCAACAACTAAGTGGGGATTAAGTTGACCTCATGTGATTTCCCTTGAACAGTACAATGTGTTTTTAATGGAAAATATCCTGGTTGTCCCTACTTTTAAGATGCTAATGTGTGTAAGAAGCTCCCCACTGAATAGTGTGTGTAGGAAACTCACCACTGAATGTTCTAATCTACAGTCGATCAAATGTAATTGTACAGCAGCAATTGTAGTTTTTTCAATAAAATGATTAATAAAAGTGTTGTTACAGTTGTCTAATTTGACCATAAATATAAACAATTATGCATTGGTACACAGTGGGTATTAAACCATCAAAAGTATGCTATTGTGTCGCATGCCTAACTTTATTACCATACTTTGATTAGGTATTATTTTTGCAAAACCCACCTCTGTGCAGGCTCATCATACCTTTAAATTTGTACTTGTAGATAGTGATAGAGCACCATCTACTGGATAAATAGTTGCTGTGCTGAGAAAGGTTTTATTATAGAGCCCACACCTAGGATTTTGCTTGTCATTAGGAAATCTTTGGTTGTTCACACAATCTCATTGTGTCAGTAGTTCTAGCCTATTAGCTAAAATGGGCTTTTTTGAAATGTATTTTTCATTTTTGCTTAATTGAGATAGTGATAGGCCTAAATTTGCATAAGGGGGAGACAGTGACAACTTTTCACTTTCATATTCTGGATGAAACATGAACCTAAGAAGTACTGACAAACATTGATAAACTAATCTACACAGAGACACAAAATAGGCCATTTGATGACATGCGAGTCAGAAGATATGACAATAACAGTACGTACTAGATGCTGTTGATGTTAACAGATATCCCCACTTGCTTGAACAAATATGGTGAAAAATCGATGAAAAAGTGAACCAAATGACGTAGGTATGATGTGCGTGCAGCGGACCTCTTGATTTTGTGAGCGGTTTTGTCTACTGTGACAGTAGGATATCGCTTATGCAATTTTGTTGTTTTGTTGGCTGAAATAACAGCCATGATCATTCCTCAGAATAAATAAAAAAATGTGAACGCTTCATTTTAAGGGGTCCTTATTGCAGTGTAATTACATGTGTAATTACACTAGCAAGGATTGTAGTTAATTGCAATAACTCATAGTTACACTGTAATAACAACATGTAACTGATTGTAATTGCAGTCTGTAATTACAGAGGTGTAACAACAAATGCTTGTTACAAATGGGCAAGTTTCCACTAAATTCACCAATTTAATTTCTTCTCAGCTGCATCTGATTCAGTAATAACTGTCACAAGGTTGTAATCTCTTGTGGACAGATGGGCTGGGTGTCCGAGATTACAAAGATTAAAGGCTCAATAGGCTCTAATTGGATCCCCAGACAGATTAATATATGTTTATCCCAGAATCGGCGGAACAGAATCGGCGGAATGAATACACCCCTGTTCACACGCAAACACAGTTCACTTTCATAGCAGCCACATAAAAACAGCATGATCACTTTGCTCGTTGTATATATCATTCCTTCTCGCAACTATCTATGCGCTCTCCTCCTCTCACCTTTTCCCTTCACTTGCGGTCTTCAGTGCACAACACATCAGCTGTCACGTCAGCTGTCTAGGCTAAGCTAGCTAGCTGCATTCACTAGCTAAGTGAAAGTGAAAGTTTTTTTTTGCAACTCCTTAATTTTGGAAGAAATGCATTTGTTCAAAATTGTTCAACTATTGTCTTTCTCTGAGTCAACTACTCACCACATTTTATGTACTGCGGTGCTAGCTAGCTGTAGCTTATGCTTTCAGTACTAGATTTATTCTCTGATCTTTTGATTGGGTGGACAACATGTCAGTTCATGCTGCAAGAGCTCTGAGAGGGTGGAGGATGTCCTCCGGAAGTTGTCATAATTAGTTTGTAAATTTATGGAAGGGGGTGAGAACCATGAGCCTCCTAGGTTTTGTATTGAAGTCAATGTACCTAGAGGAGAACAGAAGCTAGCTGTCCTCCGGCTACACCATGGTGCTACCCTACAGTGCTGCTGAGGCTACTGTAAACCATTGCAAAACAGTGTTTTAATCAATTATTTGGTGACGTGAATATATTTAGTATAGTTTTATCTAAAAAGTATAACTTTTTTAATGTTTCACTATCTTTATTTTTATGAAATTCACTGAGGAGGATGGTCCTCCCCTTCCTCCTCTGACGAGCCTCCACTGCTTGAGGTGTACATACTTGTAATTATTATGTACCCACAAAGTACTTTACCCATTCTGAAAATCTATTCGTCAGCTTCTGAAAGCACCATCCAAGTAAGGAAAAAAACACACTAATACAACACAGAGTACATATCTGTAATATCTGCATAAGTACAAGGTTGTCACTAGTTCTTACACAGGATTTAGCTATTTAAAGTGACGTGTAACTTTATAGTTACCTATAAACAATTTATATGTAATTAGTTATTACTCATTACCAAGTGAAAATACCTACAAACAAAAGATGAGCTTCTACTTTAGGTCAACTTTATTGCAACAGGTAAAAATACCTTACATTTCTTACAAAATAATAAGGATTTATATTGTTAGATGAATAATTAGATTAATTAAATTAAACAAAGATGTACAGTATAGGCCTACTCAATAACATAAACATAACTATTCTAGTGATGACTCAAATCTGTAGCCTACAGTATGGTGAGTAGCCTAGATAGCTAGGTCATTTAGAAAAATGGGATTGTCTTTTTCTTCCCTTTTTAACATTACAAGTAACAATGGAAATCGACAACTCTGTTTCTGTTTTCATACGTTTCTTTCTTGTAAGTATTTACCCATCCTGGAGTCTGAGACCTTGTGGGAATCTGTGGTAGAGAAGAAGAATGTATGACAACTTAGCATAGACACTATACATTACCCCTAGTTATCATCATAGTGATTTCTATAGTTTAGGCATATAGCTAGCTAGGCCTAACTAGTTGTTGTGTTATCCATCTAGTAATAATAGTGCTTGTGTTGACACAAGTAGCTAGCTAGTTAGTTAACGTTAACATGCAGAGTGTCTCACGCAATACCCTTGGGGTACAAGGGTTATGCCCTCCGCTATGCCCTCCGACGAACCATCAAACAGGCAAAGAGTCAATACAGGACTAAGATTGAATCGTACTACACTGGCTCTGACGCTCGTCGGATGTGGCAGGGCTTGAAAACTATTACAGACTACAAAGGGAAGCACAGCCGCGAGCTGCCCAGTGACACAAGACTCCCAGACGAGCTAAACCACTTCTATGCTCGCTTCGAGGCAAGCAACACTGAAGCATGCATGAGAGCACCAGCTGTTCCGGATGACTATGTGATCACGCTCTCCGTAGCCGATGTGAGTAAGACTTTTAAGCAGGTCAACATTCACAAGGCCGCAGGGCCAGACGGATTACCAGGACGTGTACTCCGAGCATGTGCTGACCAACTGGCAAGTGTCTTCACTGACATTTTCAACATGTCCCTGACTGAGTCTGTAATACCAACATGTTTCAAGCAGACCACCATAGTCCCCGTGCCCAAGGACTCTAAGATAACCTGCCTAAATGACTACCGACCCGTAGCACTGACGTCTGTAGCCATGAAGTGCTTCGAAAGGCTGGTCATGGCTCACATCAACAGCATTATCCCAGAAACCCTAGACCCACTCCAATTTGCATACCGCCCCAACAGATCCACAGATGATGCAATCTCTATTGCACTCCACACTGCCCTTTCCCACCTGGACAAGAGGAACACCTACGTGAGAATGCTATTCATTGACTACAGCTCAGCATTCAACACCATAGTGCCCTCAAAGCTCATCACTAAGCTAAGGATCCTGGGACTAAACACCTCCCTCTGCAACTGGATCCTGGACATCCTGACAGGCCGCCCCCAAATGGTAAGGGTAGGTAACAACACATCTGCCACACTGATCCTCAACACGGGGGCCCCTCAGGGGTGCGTGCTCAGTCCCCTCCTGTACTCCCTGTTCACCCATGACTGCATGGCCAGGCACGACTCCAACACCATCATTAAGTTTGCCGACGACACAACAGTGGTAGGCCTGATCACCGACAACGATGAGACAGCCTATAGGGAGGAGGTCAGAGACCTGGCCGTGTGGTGCCAGGACAACAACCTCTCCCTCAACGTGACCAAGACAAAGGAGATGATTGTGGACTACAGGAAAAAAAAGAGGACTGAGCACGCCCCCATTCTCATCGACGGGGCTGTAGTGGAACAGGTTGAGAGCTTCAAGTTCCTTGGTGTCCACATCACCAACAAACTATCATGGTCCAAACACACCAAGACAGTCATGAAGAGGGCACGACAAAGCCTATTCCCCCTCAGGAGACTGAAAGGATTTGGCATGGGTCCTCAGATCCTCAAAAAATTATACAGCTGCACCATCGAGAGCATCCTGACTGGTTGCATCACCGCCTGGTATGGCAACTGCTTGGCCTCCGACCGCAAGGCACTACAGAGTGTAGTGCGTACGGCCCAGTACATCACTGGGGCCAAGCTTCCTGCCATCCAGGACCTCTATACCAGGCGGTGTCAGAGGAAAGCCCTCAAAATTGTCAAAGACTCCAGCCACCCTAGTCATAGACTGTTCTCTCTGCTACCGCACGGCAAGCGGTACCGGAGTGCCAAGTCTAGGTCCAAAAGACTTCTCAACAGCTTCTACCCCCAAGCCATAAGACTCCTGAACAGCTAATCATGGCTACCCGGACTATTTGCACTGCCCCCCCACCCCATCCTTTTACGCTGCTGCTACTCTGTTAATTATTTATGCATAGTCACTTTAACTCTGCCCACATGTACATATTACTTCAACTACCTCAACTAGCCGGTGCCCCCGCACATTGACTCTGCACCGGTATCCCCCTGTATATATAGCCTCCCTACTGTTATTTTATTTTACTTCTGCTCTTTTTTTCTCAACACTTTTTTTGTTGTTGTTTTATTTTTACTTTTTTGTTAAAAATAAATGCACTGTTGGTTAAGGGCTGTAAGTAAGCATTTCACTGTAATGTCTGCACCTGTTGTATTCGGCGCATGTGGCTAATACAATTTGATTTGATTTACAGATACCCTGAGAAATAGGTTCAGGGAAGATAAGACCATATAGCCCAGCTAACCTTAGCTAGCGAGTAGAGACCATAGCATATTCGCCAGTTTTAGGTAGCTACACTGAACAAAAATATAAACGCAACATGCAACAATTTCAAAGATTTTACTGAGCTACAGTTCATATAAGGAAATCAGTCAATTGAAATAAATTCTTAGGCCCTAATCTATGTATTACACATGACTGGAAACACAGATGTGCATCTGTTGGTTACAGATACCTTAAAAAAAAAGGTATGGGCGTGGATCAGAAAACCAGTCCATATCTGGTGTAACCTCCATTTGCCTCATGCAGCGTGACACATCTTCTTCGCATAGAGTTGATCAGGCTGTGGAATGTTGTCCCACTCCTCTTCAATGGCTGTGCAAAGTTGCTGGATATTGGCAGGAACTGGAACACGCTGTCATACATGTCGATCCAGAGCATCCCAAACATGCTCAATGGTTGACATGTCTGGTGACTATGCAGGCCATGGAATAAATAGGGCATTTTCAGCTTCCAGGAATTCTGTACAGATCCTTGCGACATTATCATGCTGAAACATGAGGTGATGGCGGCGGATGAATGGCACGACAATGTGCCTCAGGATCTCGTCATGGTATCTCTGTGCATTCAAATTGCCATTGATAAAAAGCAATTGTGTTCATTGTCCGTAGCTTATGCCTGTCCATACCATAACCCACCGCCACCATGGGGCACTCTGTTCAAAACTTTGACATCAGCAAACCAATCACCCACATGACGCCATACCGCTGTCTGCCATCTGCCTGGTACAGTTGAAACCGGGATTTGTTGATAACCCGTTTTTGCCATTGGGCCTGGGCATCAGACTCCCGATCTTTATTGCATAGTTGTATCAATGAGGTGGTAGGTTTTCAACTGGTTTACACTTATCATGTGGTTTGTGCAGGCTGAAATATGGTGAGTTGGGATGCTATCGGAAATTGTAACATTTGTAACAAGCATTGTAACAAGCATTCATTGTTACACCCCTCTAATTACAGACTACAATTACCACCAGTTACATGTTGTTATTACAGTGTAACTATGCATTATTATAGTTAATTACAATACTTGTTACAGTGTAATTACATATGTAATTAAACTGTAATAAGGACCCCCTAAAATGAAGTGTTACCAAAAAGGTATGCAAGGTTATTTGAAAGGGTTTGAGTGTTGCCAATTTAGATCTATTTATTCACTGATGGAAGAATATAGCCTACACAGTATTATATTGTCACCAAACTATATGTATCCTAGATGTTGGCATAAAACAGTCATTTGTTTATAATGAATATTGAAAATGATTTATTGATCATGAATAATTAGATGACTTTATAGCCTAATAATGTGCGTCTTTGGCACGCATCCTGTGCGCTGGGAAGGTGAGCTGTTGTTTGTAAACTTGGATTAAGTCTACATTGCAATGACGTATTATAATGACGCTGAATACGACAACAAGCAGTTAGTTGTATGCTGAGCTTTTAAGTGGGCGTATCACACTAAGTGAAAAGTTCCATTGGGAATCTAAACTCCCGGAACTGTTCCCTGCATATCCATAACGCACGCATTACCGATATGTCCAATTCAGACCTCCTGCGTTATTCCAAGCAGTGTTCTCCAACTTCAGGGGGAACCATGCTATCAGGGAGTGAAGATGAGCCAACGGATAATGGTGATGAGGACTTGGAAGATGGCTTAATTGAACCACCAGAAATGTATAAGAAAGACAGGGGAAGGGCGAAATCTCTGCCCGCATACCCGGAGCAGGCTATGCTTTTTGAAGAAATAGCCAATAACGGCCGAAAACGGGTGAAGTTCGCAGACTCCATGGGGCTTGATTTGGCAAGCGTGAAGCACTTCAGCACATCAGAAGACCCGAAAATCCCTTCCAAGGTATTGTCGAGATTGCAGAGCTTTCCCCCTCAACCACAGGACCGAGAGTATACAATTGGGAACCTGTGCGTAAACTTAAAATCTACCTTGACCATGGACCGTCTCATCCCAACTTTCAAGATGCCAGTTGAGTCTGATGATTTTGAAACCACGGTATTGCAGCGCCACGTCAACCTGGAGAAGGTGACCATCACTCAGTTTGACATCCGTGGGCAGATTCGGACGAATACTCAAAACTGTTGCAAGAGGGAAGTTGGTGTGAGGTACACATTCAACGAGTGGCTCTCTTTCGTGGACGCGCAGGCGATACCCATGCCCGTGGATGAGAATATTGTCGGTGAGCGTTATTCCTTTACCATATTCACACCTCCATTCCTAGACCCATCTTCCTCTGTGCACTTCGCCGTGTACATCAGGAATGACCAGGGCGAGTTTTGGGATAACAACTATGGTCAAAACTATACCTTCAAGTATCACTGTACATGTATGCCGACCTACGAGAGCGTAGCATTCCATGCAACCTGAAATCCGCCGTTACGCACGTGCGTAAAGATGGTGTCGCTCAACCAGGTCTCTTATGAAGTTGTTCTCCATCACGTGGAATGATATGTAATTTTCAATTCAGTTAATGTATTTTCGTCTTGCTATCTGAGCCCACCGTTTTGTTATCAATGTGTTCATGAGTTCATAATGATTATTATGACCTTAGGCCTACTGTACCATCCTTCTTTAAAGTAAAACATGGAGTTGACAAGTTTGCCTCTGTCCAGTTGTGTCTTCTTTCCTGTTCTGGAATGACATTCAATAACAAGAATGTCCAATAATAGTTGTTGGACTGATTTGCAGTTAGATCTCATTGTCTGAAATGAGGAAATTAACAAATCAGGACCCATGGATGGACTGATTAACATTTCTCAGCTACACTGCCAATGGGGTATGTACAGACCCGAGACTCAAGGGACCATACTAAAATACTTTAAATGAGGCATTTTAGGACACATGATATACAGTACATCTCATATCCAAGAGGACTTTACCTGTTCTACATCATATTTGCCTGTCATGTCATCAAATCAGAAAGAGAGCTATCCTACTGTGCCAAGTTGTGGATTCAGTTTAGTCATTTATATGACTTGTGTTGTGTCATTCAGTTTCATGATTGTGCTAAACTTGTGGCACCCTATTTCCTATAGATAGCACTACTTTTGATCTCTGGTGCACTACTTTTGACTAAAGGGAATGGCTGGTCAAAAGTAGTACACTTTAAAGGGAATAGTGTACCATTTCAGACATTGCCTTTGATTCAGGGCCCAGAATATTGCAGAGTATGAAAATGTGTGATTTATCCTAGTTATAATGCCATCATGTGAAGCAAAATCTGTCAAAGAGTTCTCTGCCATTAAATATATGAATTCTTGTTTATACTCACATGGGCACAGAGGAATGATTAACGAGCAATCTGTCTGTCATATTAGTGTGATTGGCTACACAGTGAACAGCTTGATCAAATGGTCTGAGGCAGCAGGTTCGTGGAACATAATGTACAAAACGTATTTACTGCTCTGTAGAGCACTGGTTTCCCAGTGTTGTTAACAGCATTTCTGTCCAAATTACAGCTGTGACGGAATTATATCTATTCTACATGTTATGTTTGGGGGTGGTAATAGTTTTAATCAACTGTATGTTATAAAGCAGACATTACACATCTACATAGCTATAAAGTCATACATACAATAGGCCCATTACAATATTCTGTAATACAGCTGTTTAATGTAAAACTTATTTGTTGACATTATGACATCCATACAATTACGTAGGATCTCTAAGATATCCCTTTATCAAAACTCCTCCACTGCTTTCCCTACAATCAGAACATTCAGAGGGTGTTTGTAATACTGTTGATGGGTATGTGAGCAGCACACTACTGATGCCAGTGATGTTACTTCCCTTGTTTGGCCTGTCATGTACAGTTTACTAAAATATTACATGGTGGCTGTCAGGTTGTTGTCCCATTCCTGTCCCCTGACCAAAGTTCAAGAGGCAAATCAGCAAATCACATGGAGTTGTTTACTCTGTCAACAGAGAATGGCTGGTTTCTAGGCTTCATCTCTACAGTGATCTCACCGGACAACGTCCACACAGACCTGGGTTCAAATACTATTTGAAATCATTTCGAATAGTATTAGAACCCAGGTCTGGCGTCTGGACAACATCCATGTTGATGGAACGTGTACTGTCCAGTCTGTCTCAGAATCTTGGCCTACTGAACTGAATGTAAAAATAGACTATAGACAATGTGTAAATGCAGTTAATCTCAATCTTAAATGGTACATGCATGTATGTTGATGTAACAGTGTAACATGATATGTTGTTGATGTTATTGTAACCCTGAGATTCATGCACAGTACATGCCATCAATTGGGATATTGAATATCAACCAATAAATGACCACATTTTCAAATGCAGAATCCTCATTTTCTTCAACAGTACATGACATGTTGATAATGATTATAAACTGTCCTCAAGTATCCTTTCTTATTATTCAAATGCCATCAGACCCAGGCATCAGTGATGCCTCCTGTGTTCAAATACTATTGAAAATACTTTTGAGTGTTTGCTCTAGCCTGCCTGGAGTGCTAGATGGCCGTGGCTTGCCATTTGGGACTATTCTATTGGTCCATTAAGCCAGGCAAGCTTAATCAAGCAGAGATAAAGTATTTGAAATGATTTCAAACAGTATTTGAACTCAGATCTACTCCCCTTGATGTTCATGTACTTCAACCGGTCTTAGTTGATCACCCTAAAACGCTGATCAGAAGTAGACAAGATATTTAGAGAGGACCTCTGGGGGAGCTTTCAACTTTGATCCTTATTATTTGTTGAGTAATATGATCTTTACACCTGTCTCCGTCTACAACTAGGTCACTGCTCATCCAAAACCAACAAAAGGGGCTATTTTCTAGAACAGGTGGCCTTGTGGGATACATTCACCCTCTTACCCAACTCAAATCACGAGTGTAGTATCACCCATTTCCATTATTATTTGCCATTGCATATTTTTATTCTGCCGGTATAATGCATTGTGATGCGGCTTTAATGCATTATAAAACTTGTCATGAGAGAATAATAATATATGCCATTAAGCAGATGCTTTTATCCAAAGCAACTTAGTCATGCCTGCATACATGTTACGTATGGGTGGCCCCAGCAGGAATCAAATCAAATCAAATGTTATTTGTCACATACACGTGTTTAGCAGATGTTATAGCGGGTGTAGCGAAATGCTTGTGCTTCTAGCTACGACAGTGCAGTAATATCTAACAATTTCACAACATATACCCAATACACACAAATCTAGTAAGGAATGGGATTTAAGAATAAATACATATATGGACAAGCAATGACAGAGCGGTATGGACTAAGATAGAGTAGAATATTATAGAATAGAATGCAGTATATACATAAGAGATGAGTAGTGCAAGATATGTAAACATTATTAAAGTGACTAGTGTTCCATTCCTTAAAGTGGCCAGTGATTTCAATAGGCAGCAGCAGCCTCTAAAGTGCTAGTGATGGCTATTTAACAATCTGATGGCCTTGAGATAGAAGCTGTTTTTCATTCTCTTGGTCCCAGCTTTGATGCACCTGTACTGACCTCGCCTTCTGGATGATAACGGGGTGAACAGGCAGTGGCTCGGGTGGTTGATGTCCTTGATGATCTTTTTGGCCTTCCTGTGACATCGGGTGCTGAATGTGTCTTGGAGGGCAGGTAGTTTGCCCCCGGTAATGCGTTCAGCAGACCGCATCACCCTCTGGAGAGCCCTGCGGTTGTGGGTGGTGCAGTTGCCGTACCAGGCGGAGATACAGCCCAACAGGACACTCTCAATTGTGCACCTGTAAAAGTTTGTGAGGGTTTTAGGTGCTAGGCCGAATTTCTTCAGCCTCCTGAGGTTGAAGAGGTTCTGTTGCGCCTTCTTCACCACACTGTCTGCGTGGGTGGACCATTTCAGTTTGTCGGTGATGTGTACGCCAAGGAACTTGAAGCTTTCCACCTTCTCCACTGTGGTCCCGTCGATGTGGATAGGGGGGTGCATCCTCTGCTGTTTCCTGATGTCCACGATCATCTCCTTTGTTTTGTTGATGTTGAGTGAGAGGTTATTTTCCTGGCACCACACTCCCAGAGCCCTCACCTCCTCCCTGTAGGCTGTCTCGTCATTGTTGGTAATCAAGCCTACTACTGTTGTGTCGTCTGCAAACTTGATGATTGAGTTGGAGGCGTGCTTGGTCACGCAGTCATGGGTGAACAGGGAATACAGGAGGAGGCTGAGCATGCACCCTTGTGGGGCCCCAGTGTTGAGGATCAGCGAAGTGGAGATGTTGTTTCTTATCTTCACCACCTGGGGGCAGCCCGTCAGGAAGTCCTGGACCCAGTTGCACAGGGCGGGGTTCAGACCCAGGGCCTCGAGCTTAATGATGAGCTTGGAGGGTACTATGGTGTTGAATGCTGAGCAATAGTCAATGAACAGCATTTTTACATAGGTATTCCTCTTGTCCAGATGGGATAGGGCAGTGTGCAGTGTGATGGCGATTGCATCGTCTGTGGATCTATTGGGGCGGTAAGCAAATTGAGAGGTAAGGTAGAGGTGATGTGATCCTTGACTAGTCTCTCAAAGCACTTCATGATGACAGAGGTGAGTGCTACAGGGCGATAGTCATTTAGTTCAGTTACCTTTGCTTTCTTGGGTACAGGAACAATGGTGGCCATCTTGAAGCATGTGGTAACAGCAGACTGGGAAAGGGAGAGATTGAATATGTCCATAAACACACCAGCCAGCTGGTCTGCGCATGCTCTGAGGACGCGGCTAGGGATGCCGTCTGGGCCGGCAGCCTTGCAGGGGTTAACATGCTTAAATGTCTTAATCACGTCGGCCATGGAGAAGGAGAGGCCACAGTCCTTGGTAGTAGGCCTCGTCAGTGGCACTGTGTTATCCTCAAAGCGGCGAAGAAGGTGTTTAGCTTGTCTGGAAGCGAGACGTCGGTGTCGGCGACGTGGCTGGTTTTCCTTTTGTAGTCCGTGATTGTCTGTAGACCCTGCCACATACGTCTCGTGTCTGAGCCGTTGAATTGCGACTCCACTTTGTCTCTATACTGACATTTTGCCAGTTGAATTGCCTTGCGGAGTGAGTAGCTACACTGTTTGTATTCTGCCATATTCCCAGTCACCTTGCCATGGTTGAATGCAGTGGTTCGCGCTTTCAGTTTTGCGCGAATGCTGCCATCTATCCACGGTTTCTGGTTAGGGTAGGTTTTAATAGTCACAGTGGGCAAAACATCACCTATACACTTCCTGATAAACTCAGTCACCGTTTCAGTGTTGTCACGAACGTTGAGAGACGGGTCAGACCAAGGTGCAGCGTGAAAAGCGTACGTTTATTAACAAATAAACATACAACAAAAACAAGAAACAACGTAACGTGAAGTTCTCCGGCTATACACATACAAGCCTAACGGAACTAGATCCCACA